TGGGTGTTAATTGTTTGGAAAAGCCAAGAGCCTTCATAATTCTTCAGTATCTCAGTGGCCGTAGGTACCAAGCACCCTTCCCCCACCTTAGCCCCCAAGTAATCATTGATTGCATCTAAATCTATAGAGAGATCTTTTCCTGGCAGCTCTGGTAGTTACAGTAGATTGTTAATCTATGAATGATCAGAATAAGCCTCTCTGTCTCAGAAATCTCCATGCACATTACATCTAAATGCATGCCATAAATTTATTAGGAACAGTTTGAAGTGCATGGGTCATCTTCTACACTATTTAAAAACATACGTCTGCTACACATTTAAAAGAGTGCTATTCCATTTATATTCACTTTTCTGTGGACGTAGCTAGCCCCTGTCAAAGTAAACCTGTGTAATTTTTGAAATAATTTTTAAAAGTCAGATGAGATAAGGTGTATTATGTAAGCAAATTTTAGATCTCTGCATGGGACTGGAGTTGTAGCATCCCTGCTTTGAAATAGTTTCACCTTTTGCAAAACAGAGAAATACATGTTTGACAAGTAGGGAGTTCTAAGAGGTAAAGGGTTGTGCCTAGATATTGGAGAGAGTGATAGATGTAAAGGAAGGTTACAGGATGTTTTATGAACCAGCCTTATTCTGGCACCTTGATCATTTTGTCCTATTTTGGGATAACACATGAAATCCATTATTCCTTTCTGTAGCCAAGTTATATCTTATGTGAACCCCAAAAAGGAAACTTAAGGAAAACCTTTAGATACCATGGGGGAATGGGAAAGAGATCTGTGGTTTCCCTTTTTGTATGTTTTTATTTCCTCATTTTACTCTTGGTTTTAATCAAACTGATATGCTGCTATGGTAAGACATGACCAGTAAAATTTTCCTTCAGGCAGTTGATGCAGAACCAGGAAATTTGTGGAACACCTACAGAATCCTCATCCTACTACCTTTTTTTCCTGAAGGAAATAGAGCAATTCTCCTAAAGACTTTAGGAATGTATTCATCTCCATGGGACAACAGACTGTGTTATTATTGAATAAGCATTTTGGTTGTCATTGCTCAAGGATACTCATACATGTTTTTTGAAAGAAAATTGATCTCTAGTTAAAAGAATGAGCAATGCTTTGAATGTTTGAAGGCTGGTTTTCGCTGTACAATTAATACCTTTCTAGCCCTCACAATAGATTTGTACAAGAAGGAAGAAAGACATTAATCCATGTTTTCTGTTTCTTTTTCCAGGCCATCCGCTGTACACTGGTAAATTGCACATGTGAGTGTTTTCAGCCAGGGAAGATTAACCTGAGAACCTGTGATCAGTGTAAACATGGCTGGGTGGCACATGGTAAGAAATGCCTGTTCCGGGCTTGTCTTCTCTAGCCTGTTCATCTTTCACAGTGTCTTCAAATATTAAGTGTTGGGGTGATGCAGACAGCAGTGACATCTATTTGTCTGTACATGCATGTGTGTGCACTCTGGGTTTGTGCATGCATGTGCATTAACATCATTTTTTTACAGCAATTTCTAGGATGGAAAAGTGAAGAGTCTGTTATTCTGGAAATAGCTTCAAGTGTCACTGGGGTTCAACAGCTTGTGTGCAGCTCAAAATAATATTCTAGCATCCAGGAAATAATGTCATTCTTGCAGGGCTTAGCAGAAAGGCAGCGGAGTTTGTATTGCAAAGAAGCGTCATCCAATAAGTCACTGAGCTTAATGGAAATTCAAACATACCAATGTCAAACTTGCAGAGCTGGGATGTCAGAATGAAATGAGTGTGTGTTATATGGCTCAACAAAAGGGTGCATGTGTGATTTGTGAGTTGAACCTCTCTTCCCATGTTTAAGTAGCTGAAGAGAGAAAGAAGGGATTAGAATGCACAGATCCTATATAAAGGCATCAAAATACCCTTCCAATAGACCTTCCATTTTATTTATCCTGTGCTATTTTGTGTTCTTGTGTTTTTTCTTTCTTGACAATCTTCATTAAGCTATGCATGAGAGAGAAAAAGAGAGCTCTATATGCAATTAGAAGGCAAATAAGGAGGATACCTAAAATGATTTAATGAAAAAAAAAACCAGCGAGGGGTGAGGGGAGAGGAAAGTTGCTGTGTTTGCAGAAGAAATTAGTGTTGGAGGTTACTTCTCATGGTCGAGGCTACTGGCACCTAAGCAAGCACAATCTTCATTCCCCACTTCTGCCAGACATTTAGTGGGGTATATTCTATACATTTTATTTTATTTTTGTGAGACCTGGGGTGGAAGCTTAGTACTTCCCTCCTAAGATGCACTTGGTCTCTGTTTATTTAGTTCATGTTTGTGTGTATTTGTGCCTGAGCATGCTGACACATGGCAAGTGTGAATGCTCAATAAATTCAACAGCACAGACTGACAGATAAGTTTTTAAAACATTCACAAAATGGAAATGAAAGCAGGAGTGCAGGTACCATGCAGTCCTCTGTCACTGCATACAGTGGGCCTAGGAATATCCTAACAACAGCAGTCTGGTAGCTGGTTGCAGATTTATTATATACTAGAGTCTTTAGGGATGCAGGTTTGTTGTTTTTTTTTTGCTCCTCTTAATTCCCAGAAAGGTACCTTCAGTCACAGTATAACCAGACTCACATTTCTTTTAAGGATTGCTAAACCTCACAAAATTTCTGTAGTTCGGGCATGCTTCAGGCTTTATGTAGAATCAGCACCTGAGGTTTTGCTGATCCGTAGACAGGGAAAACTTGTCTAGCTATTTTCCAGGGTGTACTCCTGTTGAGTAATAGACATTAGGAGTTTAGCACTTAGATCCTGGCATATGGGCATCCCACATTTTCTTTTTAACCAGTACGTCTTAGAAGAGTGTGATCAAATTTTCCAGATAAATTCTTCCCTGTGGGGTGGTTGAATTCAAATCAGAATACGTGACAGTAATCTGAGATTACCACAGTGTGTATAACAGAAATGTCTGCTCTACAAATCCAAAAAGTTAAAAAGGTGAATGTGATGATCAGGGATACACCACCTCCTCCCATACCTGAGTGCTTACCATTCTAAATAGAAAACTTAATACAGCTATATATTATTAGAAAGTGTTTGTTTTACTACTGCACCAAGTGAAGAATGCTCTGATTTATCTTTTTTGTAGTATGGTTTGTGTACGTTGGTCTGGAGTATTTACATTTTATGGCAGAGCAAGACAAGTCAGATATGTTTCGTATACATACTCAAAGCAAAGGCTTATAAATTACTTCCTGGAGACTATGATGCATCTACTTAAATTCTTGATCTTTGCTGTTTTCCAGGATTTTGAGGGTGGCATTCAGTAGACTGATCAATTCATTGCACTGTAGCACCTACATTTCAAAATGACTGAATCAGGTTGCTGTTCAGAAATTATTTTCTTTAAACTGTTAGCAGGCTACTTTCAGAAGTTGTTCCTTGAATGCAAATAGTATTTCCTGCTGCTTTAATTAAAGGGTTTCCTTCTGATTTTTATTAATGAATTTCAACTCAGCTTCTTGACACATGATGTAGTGCTTTACTGAATGTCATTATCAAAGAATAGGTGTTTCCAACAGGAAGTACCCTGCCTATTCCGTTCTGATAACCTAGAATCGTAATTAACTGAATAGATCAAAAATAGCTTAGAACTGCAGTCTTCTCATGCTGTACTTGACTAATCTGTGCAGAGCTAATTCATGTTAATAACTGCCATTTGAAATCTTGGAATTCTTGGAGTGAGGAGGAAAGGGCGTACAGTCACCACAGTATGATTTCACTTAGCAAATGCCGGACTGTTTTCTTTTTTTCTGCTTCCATTGTCTTTCTCATGTTTTTCCATGCTCACCTAAAATGAGCTGCACACATCTTGAAAGGAAAGGTTTTCTACAAGTTCAATTTCTTCCGTCTGGTGTTGCCAAAAGTAGGATTGTCCATATATGAACAGATTCATCAGAGGGGTTTTTTTGTGGGAAGATAAATGTTTCTATTGGCAAAAGTTCAGCTATTGAGTTTTGACCCTGCACTGCTGGGTAATCCTACCATCAGTGTTTTTAACGCTTAAGCCAAAAGCTGCATAGAGCATAGCAGCATTCTCTGGTACTGCTGTGCATAATGGAAAATGGGTTATTGCTAGTGTGAATCTCTGGGTATTTTAAGGGATTTGAATAACTAGACTCTTTTAATTTGTCTTCAGCTGAAGCCTAGCTTTCATATTGTCAGCTTGGGCAGGAATTTATCTTCTAACTTAAAATATAAATTATTTAAATAGGATAAGACATTTCCTAGGCCTCAGGTAAACAAGTGACAGTTTGATGTTTTTCCTGCTATTTTATTTTTAATGGTTAGGATATTTGGTATAGTCCATATGGTGAAAAAAATAAAATTTTATTAAAATCTTAATAGCAAAATTTTTTCAAGGGGAAAAATTGCTGTTTTCTGGCTTTTAAATAATGTATGAGTAAGATGACTACAAAAAATTAAGACTTACATGAGTGCCTGAATTGGTTTCATCTCCTGGTATTTTTGTTTTGTTAAAACAAAATAATATATTATGAAGACCGTAGTGACATTTCACTAGCACCAGCACAAAAATCACTTACGCAAACTTTACTGGAAATAATGAAAAACCCACTTTATTTGCTACCCACTTCCCCTTGCAGAAGTGTCTTAGCCTATGAGGAAAGAAATTAAGCAAGTCTGCAGTAAAAAGATGTTGATTTAATTGACTTTGCATTTTACCTTGTCTGCTTCTCATTGATGTCAGAGTAACAACTACCGTACTGCTAGCAGAAATACTGTTATTATACCTAGTCCAACAGATCAAAAGACTCACTGCAGTATCAATGGGAAATACAGTCTACCCTCTCTCATAACCTTTTTGCTCTAAAAAGATGTGCCAAGGTGACATATGCCACAGTGGACTAAAGCCATTATTTATGACATTAATTCTATTTGTCTCAGTTTCAGTAACTTGGACTTCACAGTGATTGAAAAAAACCACAGTATAATATTAGTTTGTCTGAAATCATTGTCACCTTGTTTCAGAGAAAGTCAGAAAATTAGAAATACTAGTTCTCTTACCCTCAGAATGATAGCTGGTAAAACTCAATCACACAGCAGCGGCGTGTTTTTCAGAAGTTTTTGGTATACTGTGCATTCTTGGACTAGCTGAATTTCACACTGTTCAATCTACTCAGGGAAGTGAAGTATCCTGTGAACATTTTTGATGTCTTCCTTCTTTTTTTTTTTTTTTTTTTCTCTTTCTCTCAGAGAAAGCTGATCCTTAGCCCTGTAGTGATCCTGATGTCTTTTCATCTGTTTTATGCCAATAGGCACAGCTTGGGGCTGGGCTATTTATTCAAGTAGGCCTTAGCACCTGTCTGAGGTATGATGAGGCCACATGCGGCCCCGTCTCCAGTCCAAGACTTGGCCAGGCCTTTTCTCTGGTAACTTTGACATTAAGTTCCTTTTGTTTTTAATGAAAATGACATTAACTAGTAGATTTTGGCATATGGGGCGAATCCATTACTCTTTCTCAGTTTAAAAGCTGTCATCCAGTGAATACCTAATGCTCAGAGACTTGCTCTGTGGGTTACCCTTTCACCTTGTGAAGGAAGTTTTCTGCTGCCAGTATTTATATAATGCATGTACTAGCTTGCTGTAAATGAGACTAACAATGAAAACAACAATCTCCACTAGAAAATGGAAGATGCTCTGTCATAAAGTCAGATGCATGGCATGACTGGGATTTCTTCATTCAGAATTGTTGAGCTTTCTGAATTTCTACATGATAGTTCGTGAAATTGTCAAATAAAAGAAACATTAAGTGAAAACAAAAGAAAGGAAGGCCAGGTGTAAACAAATAGAAAAGAAAACAACTGCATCTCTCCCTCACCCAGAAGTGGCTCAAAGGACTTGGTCCAGGAAGAAGGTTTAGATTTTAAATGTGAGCTGCATAAGAATGAGGCAGGAAGGAAGAGGAATGCTATGTTGAAGTGAAAATCAGCAGACTTCCTATATTCACTATTAAGTGAAAGCAATCCAGGTCTGCAAAGTCGAAGATCATCTCTAACCATACCAAACCAAACCAAAACATAACAAAACAAACCACACCACATCACTGATTTTATAGTCCCTCTAAAAGCCAGCATAAGAGCCATGTTCTTTTTTACTTAAAAACTGAGATAGTAGAGAATGAATACTAGAAAAGGAAAGGAGAAATGTAATCCTATTATTATAGTTTACTGGTAAAATGGTAGGCTTATTTTTGTGTTGTTCCATAGGATATAAAAAATAATCACAATTTTAGCATACCAAACATACTTGTTTTCCTTCTATTTAGTTTTTTAATTCT